AGGATCCTTGTTTGCCCACTTCGTGAATGGCTGAAGGACGTCTTCTGTTCGGAAGCTATGGTCACCGTCTAGATCTGCTTACTTCGTAAATGGTGGTGGACGTCCTTTCTGTTTGGAAGCTACATTTCGTCATCCCCACGAACCCACTTCAGTTTCAATGTTCCCCACTTTCCGGTGTCGAATCACTAAGGGGCGATAACCTATATTTTCTATAAAGAAACTGAATTTTTAACAGGAAATCTCGCGATATCACTAGTTGCTTCGTTGTCGATTCATGAGGTAAAGAAAAGGCTTCGCCACGCCCCGCTTTTTCAGGGGACTTGTGACCATCAGCTGACCTTGTCTAATACATTGTATTAGGTAGGATATCATATTTGTTTCTTAATTCTTAACCATCTCCCTTATTTTAAACATATAATGTTATGCTAATAAAGTAATTGTTGAATGTATATTTCTAGACGATTCAACGATGTTTTTCTGATTGTAAGTATGCATTTCCTTGTTGTTGGTTACAATCTCTGGGGGGATGGTTATTTACCCCCGTCTCCCTACTAGGTGGTGATTTGACACAAGGTCGGGTTTCGTGTGATAAAACACGCGAGGGAAGGCAACAAGAATTGCTCACCCACCCTCAATCTTCGGTCTCGATGGCATCAGTATTATTACCAATCCCCTCTCTCTAGTGCCAAGGGGGTTGTAGGCTCGGGAAGCTGTTCCCCAGCACCGGGCACCATACAGTTCTTATCTTCCACAGCTGCTTCTCAGCCCGCAACTGAACCGAACTCTGCCCAAAGACAGAGACGCGCAACTGAGAGATGATAATTCTTCCCCAGCATGGGAATGACTGCTAAAATCCTCCCATCCCCAGATTTATAGACAAATCTTACAGATAAATTTCTTCTTGGCCAATAAAAAAATGGACAATTTTCAGTTTTACCTGCATATTTTTCTTTCTTGCCTTGAAGACAGAAGTCTATAACTACTTGACTGTATCCCTTTTACATGTGAACTCTATTTCAATTCTGTTAATTTTCACTATGTTACTAACTTCTGTTGACTTGCTTCGCTTTATATTGTCTTGGCAATTATTTTACCCTGTTATTTCTTCTTATTATTGTTATTGAGAATATTACGCTTAATAATGTTTGATTCCTCTACTGTTGTTCCTATATTCACTAAGACATCCTGGTTGCTAACATTTTTTGTTCAAATTATTCTTTACACTCGTCACTAGAAATATATCTATATCGCTTCAAATCTCTTCTTCATCTGCGAAAAATTTGTTCAGCATTTTCTGTTACATAGAAGATCAGCACTATTTTTTTTTTTTGTTTTTAACGATAATTTTTTTTTTAATACTTTGCTTTGTTCGGAAGAAATCTTTCGCAACATCTTTACGTTTTCGTATTTCCTTGCTGCATTTTCCGTCATCTGTTATTCCACCGTATAGATTGTTAAATTGTTCTACCTGTTTGGTTTTTAATGTATGAAAATCATCCTTAAAACAAGGAGCGGTAACTTCTCTGCCCTGAACGACGTAAAATCAATAAGACCAAAGTATATACATTTAGTAAAATTGAACATGTTGCGACTCCAGCAATACACATATTTTCTTTAGTGGCAACCTGCTTTTTGCAAAGAATTGAACAATATCTGACACTTCCACGATGTTTCCATGAGTTGCAATACCAGCGAGAACAATCTGTCGCAACTTGATAGGCAGTTTTAGTAGAAAGGGCCGGTTACACTGGTTGCATTGTAGGCAGTTTCGAATGAGTGCTAGCCAACGCAGTACAGTTATAAGCTCCCCAACAAACACAAATCTTCTTGCAAAATATCTTCACGTGATAATAATCCATTAAATTTGTGGGACTTAGTCTACCACGTAACATGGCTGAAATGAAACAGGATGGTTTATTTTACGTCGTTTAAGTGAAACGAATGCGAACTCCATCGAAGAACCAGCTTAATGAGCCACATAGAGAAACTGATCATCCGAATTCTGATGGAAAGTGGGCACATTAGAATCAGACCGGAAAGAGGACAAGAACAGCGCGGATTCGTCAAAGACATCGGAACAAGGAATGCAATATTTATGCTCAGAATGTTATCAGAAAGTGCAATACAAATGCAGAAGGACGTGTCCTTTTGTTTTATAGATTACGAAAAAGGAGTTCGATAAAGTACGTCACAAAGACATGATGGAACTGCTCCATAATGTCGATATCTTTGGGATATAAAATAATCAAGAATAATCAAACTATCCTGGTAACAACGACCTGCTTATGGATAGAAAATGTGTTCAGCAGATATACAAAAATAAAAAGGGGTGTAAGACAAGACCGTGTATTCCCACAGGATTTATTTAACCTATACATCGAGGCGATTCTGAGAGAACTAAAGTCCTACCAGTTTTCATACTTGAGAGCCACAATCTTAATATATATAAACCAGGGGAAGAACACATCAATAAGAGCAATAATATGACATGTCAGACAGATTCATCACAACTATTATTACGCTATAATCTCTGCCGTTTGCCTATTCAAATAATATTGCTACCATTTTTCTTGAGAGTAAAACATAAAACCGCTAGAAATATACAAAAATAGAAAGAGGCGTAAGACAAGGATGTGTCTTCTCACCGGATTTATTCAATCTATACAGCGAGGCAATTCTGAGAGAATTAGAAGTCTTAGCAGGATTCATTATTGGCGACCACAATCTTAGCAATATACGATATGCAGATGACACAGTGCTGATAGCAGACACAGAAAGAAAGCTATAAAAGCTCCTGCAGAAGCTAGTGAAGGAAAGCGAGAAGAAAGGATTAAACATAAACTGTAAGAAAACAGAATGCATGGATGTTAGCAAAGGATGACACCAAAGTGCAAATTACGAATTAAGGTACCAAAATCAAATAATTTCATAAATTTAAATATCTGGGAATTGTTTTAACAGAGGACGGGAAGTGCGACACTGATATCCAACGACGTATTGGGATATCCAAAGATTCGTTCCAAAAGCTAAGCACAGTAATAATAAAAAGGAAAATTTCGCTAGAAATAAGGGAAATACTACTACACTGCTATGTGATATTTTCCTCTTGTATGAGAGCAGGGCGATATTCTCAAAGATGAAAAGGAGACTTGAAGCAACAGAAATGTGGTTCTACAGAAGGATGCTGAGGATAGCGTGGACCGAAAATGTGAGTAACGAGGAAATTTTGGAGAAAATGGAAACAAAAAGGAAACTAATATTTAACATCAGGAAGAGACAGTTGAGGTTTCTGGGGCATATGAGAAAGGAGGGCTTGGAAAATCTGATACTCACGGGATAAATAGAGGGACAGAGGGAAAAAAAGGATAATATAACGAACTTGAATAAATTGGGTGTTGGAACAGGAATTAAGAGAAATGGAAGATATACAAAGTTTATTAAGATTTGCAATCGATAGGAAATCGGGGAAAGCCGTGATCGCCTATGTTCTGAGGAGACACAGAACATAAAGAAAGAAGAAGAATTTTAACAGATTATTTTACACGGATTAAGTGAAAGATTATCCAAGGAGAAAATAAATTCGATCCATTTCCTAATTAACTTCGCTGACTTTGAATCACGATAGACGTCAGTGGTGTTAAAGGTAAAAAAATAAATAAAACCGTAATGGGACGAACAAGACGAATCGAAAATATCAGATGAGCGTAATATTCCGTTTTAGTCAGGTATCATTTGAAGAAATCATGTCTTGATAATTTTTTATTTCGATTTTGTGACTTTTATCTTGGTAATAGTACTTTGTATTTCCTGGGGTTGGCGTCGTAACGTGGAGACTAATATCAATTGCTTTGTTTAATTGTCGATTTTTGACATGTTTAGTCTTTTTGTTCCATTTTTAAAGCCCCAATTAAAAATCAAAACGAGCCAAAATGGCAGAAGATATACAGAGAAAAAAAAAACCTATAAATTAGAGGAAGAAAAACGCAAAGAAAAAATGAAATGCATAAATATATATAAAGAAACAGTGAGTATTGGCTGAAGTTGATAAATAGTTACAACCGTAGTGTTACGAATGTAATTTAAAAATGTAATAAACACTCAATAATTGTTCGAATTTATACTACAAGAATTATTTGGTCACAACATTCCACTGGTGACATAGAATGAGCACGGTTTTCATTTATATATTTGTTGTAGCATATCTACAGACGATAATGTGTATGTACCCATTCACATAAATACTGTAGTAAATACTGTATGTTGGTCTGCAGTTGGAGATTCGTCTCCAGCTGTGCTTGTCAAACTCTCTGCTTCCACGCAGAGAGGATCCCTAGACGAGGTTATGTCGAAGGGAAGAGTCTTGTCTCGGGAAACACTTACCCAACCACGTTTTATATGGGGTCTACGGAGAATTTATGGTCGAGCCTATGGTCTCGGATATTCCACATTAAATTCGGCCTTGTAGCACATCTGACCGAGTAGGGTGGTTGTTAGAAATCCTGCAGTTGGAGATTCATTTTGGAATTCACTTGACTCACTTTAGTAGTTGACTACTTTTACGCGCCGCTGGCGAATCTTATATGTGTTGTTCTATTATCGATCATTACCAACCTTTGTTTGATTATTCTATTCAGTAACTTTCCCTAGGTTACAACAATATTAGTAATATGTCTTTTGTTATGATTTATTTGGTCGATCTAACTTAGACATTCATGAGTTTATTGCGCCTATCTTGATCCTGCATCAAGGTCAGAATGTCATTAGGATCGCGTTCTGTACCATAACATAGTTTGTCAATATATGTGATTCTTCGGCGGCCAACCCATCTTGTGCCATGAATAGGTATCCAGAGCAGTAGATAAATCATCGGTTCCTGTTTTTCTCTTTAGCAGTGTCCTGCAAAGTGCATTCTATGTTCGCCTAAGGTTCTTGCCCTTTGTAGTTCTTAATAAATGGTGATTTTAAATCTTATTCCTCCATTCATTTACTCAAGCATGCTAGCCAGTTCCCGTACGATCAGCGAAGTTAAGAAACGTCTATCCTGGTCAGTACGTAGATGGGTGACCGCTTGGTAATACCAGGTGTTGCAAGCCTGTAAGTACAAATGGTGCAGTGGATACTGGTTCAGAATTAGTAATCGGAGACCTGAACTCCAATTACATTTTGGATCATTACATTCACTTACGCGCTATATAAGTTTGGGAAAAGATTGAACCCATCTCTTCTCCCCAACTTATAGGTTAATTAGTAAGACTTGTATCACTAAAACCATTATTATCTAAAAAAAATTGCGCGCAATATCCTTATAGAAATTACAAATAAGTCTATCGTTATGGAAATTACATTTTAATTAAAAGCCCGGTGAAGCCTTATCAATAAAGAGCCGGACAACATAATAAAAAGTTTCCTTAAAAGAAATTTTACCCATAGATAATATTAATCGTTTTGTTATGTCCTGTTATACATCAGGGATGACACAAATCTGATTGCTTTAAACTCGTGTTTTATTTGAATACTATTGACGCGAAACTAAATCATTTATAAACCCGAGACCAGTGTTTAGTTTCTATTGTATTAGAATCTAAATTATCTTTGAACGACAAATATAATTCTCTGTGTCTACGTTATCGTTCTTGCTTACAATATCAAGTTTAAGCAGTTTAACTCGAAAGGGCTACAAATCTTAGGTGGGATTAATTCCTACAGCTACCGAAAGCCTTTAGCTGATATTGTATACGCTGAAATATAGAAACGATTTAAATTGTCTCGACTCGAGGAGTTTAAACAGAAATGATTGATGCTGCTAAGCAGTATCAATGGTAAATACTCAATCCCAAAGCAAATTACCATTTCTCACACCCACTGTCTTTCATACACAACACCCACCATATATATATATATATATATATATATATATATATATATATATATATATATATATATATATGATAGACTTCGAAGAAATACCTTTCATAATTGTACTGAAATCATTGTAGATTTTGCTTAAATGGGAAAGGTAACTAGACATTTATAGACAAAGCAAGAAGGTTTTCAAGATTCTATGTAGAACCGTCGAATATGAGAAGAAAGACGAGAAGTTGAATTGACAGAAAAGACCAAGTGTATCTGGCCTGGAAAGAGAAATAAAGAGAACCAGGAAAGTAAACTGAAGTAGAAGCAGAAAGATTGGAATGTAAATAAGAAAGACAGGAAGAAGAGACGAAGAAAAACTGCAGAGGAAGATTTATGAATGTTCGTTTGCAAAAATGTCAGAAAGATCTAACGAACCAGAAGTGAAAAGAGTAAGAGCGCATGCGCAGTAGATAAGAACAGAAAGACATGAAGATGAGAATATAGAGTTCTGAATAAGGAGATAAAAAAAGACGCGCGGCTAACGTAACCGTTGGTGTCGGGCAAAGTCGAATTGAGGTATCGAGTTCAAGTTCCAGCCTAGTCTGCTGCGTTCACTTTCACACAAGGCATGAATTCAACTCTTCTCTTACCAGCTATGTTTAAAATAGTAGTGGCTGTCTAGATTTGTGAGGAAACTAGTCTAAGGGGAGAAGGCAACAGGAAACAACTCCGCAAATCTCTAAAAGCATGACAACGCACGGATATGAAGAACAAACAATCTCTGGAGAGATGGGAAGAAACATAAAAAAGCGACATGGCTTTTGAAAATGAAGAAAATAAGAGAAACCATTTAAATAAATCGTTAGTGAGAAAAATACAGAACAAAAGAAAGAGAGAGATACATTGACTGAACGAGCGAGGGGAATGAGAGAGAGAGAGAGAGAGAGTGAGAAAAAAGAGAAAAACGAAACAAAAGCAAGAAAACTAATATATTGATTGAACAAACGAGGGAAAGAGAGAGAGAATAAAAAGAGAGAAAAAACAGACAAAAGAAATAAAAATGATATACTGATTAAACGAGCGAGGGAAACAGAAAAAAAAAAGAAAAAATGGAGTAAAAAAAAAAAAAATGGAAGCGAGAAAAGATTAATGAGCATATAAACGATTAATGCGTATTTTAGCCTCTCGACCAGAGCCAGAGAGATCAACGTTCGTCTCGGTAAAAAGTAGGAATCCAAATGCTGCTTTTCTGGGGAAGTAGGATTAGATCGCATAATCTTCCTTCTTTCTTCTACATTCGTGCGATTTGGCAAAGACAAGGAAATAACGCCGAAGAAATAAAAATTTTTTTTTAAAGACATGCATACAGAGAGGGTAGTCATTGAAGGAAAGTTGAAAAATGCATAGAAGCGATAAAACATAAAGAAATTTTGAAAACACACACACACACACACACACACACACACACACACACACACATACATACATATATATATGTATGTATTGATTTTTTTACATCCAGGCATTCTCATAATTGAATTCCCATAGATAACCTGACGTAATCAAGGTAATTCTAACTGTCACAGAGACACCACATCGGTTCTTGATAATGATTGCGAAATAGGAACGTACTTGAACAAAAAAAAAAACAAAACAAAACAACAAAAGTATGAACTTCGGCCAGTTTATCGAAAACTTTGAGCACAATAATCAACACCTTATTCGAAAATTGGAAAAATTCTATAAAAAAAACTTAAAGCAGCAGACGTTGTCAGTTCTTTTAATTCAAACTAGGATGAACACACAAACACACATATACATATGCTAGATGAACTGGTAAATATTATACAGACAATTCATATTATATATATATATATATATATATATATATATATATATATATATATATATAGGTAACTACACTCGTCTCGGAAAATCTTCGGTTTCTTGATTTGCTAATGATCAAATCAATTTCGAAGGAAAAAAAAAAGGTTTTAAAAAAGAAAGAGCTATGAACATGAACGTCTGTCGAAAATAATCGTACAGCATACAGGTCCAAAGCCCAAAGAAAAAAACCCCGATACGAGTAATCAACTAACTAAAAAAAGTGCTCAATACAAAAGTAGAGCAGACCTAGTCAAACCTAGAGAGCCAGACAAACCTACCGACCTATACAGTTTTCTTTACCTCTTTAGCCACTTTTCCCTGACGATCCGCTTAGGTGAAACCTTGGTAGGCTTGTCTGGCTCTCTAGGTTTGAATATATATATATATATATATATATATATATATATATATATATATATATATATATATATATATATTCAAACAAGTTTGTTGAAAAAAGAGCCGAAGTGCATATTTTGTTATTATTTTGTTGAAGTACTTTCGACCATTGCTGTCATTTTCAAGTACTAATGTGAAGCCTGTGTGGTAGATAGAATTCCTTTGTCTATATCCGGGTAATCTTTGGGAACGTGTAAGTTTGAAATAGTAATGTAAAACGGTGACAGGGAATTATGTCAAACAAAAAGATTTACAATTTGAGTATTAATAACATTAGTATCATATATATATATATATATATATATATATATATATAAAAATGAAATTGTTAGAAAGATTCTGTACAAAAACTTGTTGTATAGACTAAAATATGTGTGAGTATATATATATATATATATATATATATATATATATATATATATATATAAGAAAAGGTTAAAGAGTGAGTGTTAAGTGAAGAACAAACCCAAAAAGTTCAAAATACGAAAAGGACAAATGATCCCGTCGCCCTACACGTTTGAAAGTCCGCGCAGGCGAATGCAAGCGCGAGAACGCACATTCGCATATACCGGTGGATGTCTGCACGCGCACAAACGCATTCACGAGCGCAAATAATACGAATAAACTTGCACTAAGGATACATGTATAAAAAGGAAAAAAAATCAAAAAATATAAGCAGTAGATTGCTGATACCTCCTTAAGAGTGGACGGACAAGTCCGTCTACGAATCTCTGAAGTTGGGATACTGAAGGTAACATCAATCAGCTAAGTGAGTAACTTTTACTTATATTTATCATATATATGTATATATGCATGTATGTATGTGCATGTGTGTGTGTGTGTATTTTACTTTTATCTTTATTCATATTGTTTTTTTACAGGTATACTCTACTTGAAATTTTTACACACACACACACACACACACACACACACACACACATATGTGTGTGTGTGCGTGTGTGTGTGTGTGTGTGTGTGTGTGTGTGTGTGTAATCAGTCTGTGGGGAAGATGTTACCTCGATGCTACATGTCTTTTAGGTTTGTTATTCTTTAAAATTTATATGCTTCTTTTAATATAAGTGTGTGTGTATAAAGAATGAGAGAGTATATATATATATATATATATATGTGTGTGTGTGTGTATCTGTGTGTATAAAGAGCGTGAGAGAGAGAGTGAGAGAGAGGGAGAGACGGAGAGAGAAGAGACAGAAGAGAATGATAGATTATTGTGCTGAATCCAAAAAGAGCGTAGTTAGCTATCAAATTAAAATGGACACTGTGTCAAATGATCGAATAAAATTCTCTTTAAAACCATAATTGCGTTGGGTTACCCCAAAGACAACATTTTGGCATGTTTTGCCAATAAGTTGGTCTTATCAGAAATCTTATTATTATGTATATATATGAATAAAGAGAAAAGTGAAACTTATTTTAGTCAATGCATTTCGTCCTCTGTTGGACTTCATCAAGGTGAATGTAAGGATTTTATTTTGCAACACATATTTATAAACAAAACTATTTAAGAAAGATCATAAAGATACATGTAAATGGCATCATTTAGGTACTTCAATAATTTGCCTTGACTTTTCAAATTATTGAAGTACCTAAATGATGTAATTTTATATCTAACAAACAAAAGTGATTAAATGTTGCTGAATATTTTTTATAATGTAATTATTTTATTTTGCGATTGATTTATTTAAAATAATAGAAAGATTAACCATTTTCTTTTAAGTTTTTAACATTTTTATAGTCACGTATTTTGCTTGTGAAAATAGTAATTCTTTCAGGAACAGAGATATCTGATAAAATTCGAGGCGCAAATTTATATTTTGATAAGATTCAACAGCGACACTTTCAAGAATTTCCCACCTTCTATTTTAACAAGTGTAACATTCTTTATGGTTGACATTATTTCTATGTATGACTAATGCTTTTCATATTACATCCATTTTGTGTTTACAGATACAATTTTTTTAAAAATATCTGCAAGTCTCCCTAACATATTCTATGCGGCGGTTGGAGCAGTTTATTTTATATATATACCGGTTGCAGAATTATTATTGTCATGGGTAATTTTGCTTCTGATCATATCCATAATAGTTTTGTATATTATTTTGATATTGTTAAAACTGGAAAAATTATAAACACACACACACACACACACACACACACACACACACACACACACACACACACACACACACACACACACACACACACACACACTACAGACGCACATATATATATATATATATATTATGGTTTATTTATTGATATTTATTTTTATTATAATATTAATTTCCGAGATATAGATTATATTGGGTAGTAAGGACGTTAAAGCCTTAAAAGCGAAACAAGGTATCGTAAAATGATTGAATGTAATGTTGAAAATTGCGAAAAAGTTGAACACTGAAAAGTTGAAGAATAAAAAAAGTAAGAAAAATAGTTATAAATGTTATATAATGTTATAAAAAGTAATTTGAGAAAAACCCATGCAAGAAAAATTGATTGACTGAAATTACTGAACATATTTGCAGAATATAAACAAAGAGAAAATTTACAGAATATTAATATCATTGGCTAAAACATGAACACAACGAAACTACCACCTTTAAGTAAATATCACAAATAGTAACTTGGATAAGAGAGCGATATTGCGCCTTTAGGCTGTCTTTGGTCCATGGTATTCTCAGCATCCTTCTGTAAAACCATATTTCTATTGCCTGAAATATCTTCTTCACATATGAAGAGATTGTCCAGCATTTATTGCCATATAGAAAGAGTGATATTACAGTACTCTTGTCTTTCTTTCTAATGAAATATTTCTGATTTTTAATACTTTTCTTAGCTTTTGGAAGGCATCTTTTGCTATTCCGATGCGCATTCGGATTTCAGTGTTAAACTGTCCGTCCTCTGTTGAAACATTTTCCAGATATTTAAATTGTTGCGCTTGCTTGATTTTAGTTCTTTTAAAACATAATTGTAATGTCTTGGACCTGAAACATTTCGGCAGGTTAAAATATGGCATTTTTAAAAAGTTTCATCTTGTATTTTTTTAATTTAAAGTCCTTCTTGACAATATTGTGTTCATTCAAAAATTTAAAATATATTGTATGTTATTTAATTATTAAATTTTTAATTATTGCTTTAGGTTTCACTTTCTTATGTAGACAGTTTAAGTGTTGGACTCTCTGTGGAATATAGTGCCACTTCCCCACCACGATAGATGGCGCTTCTTTGGTTTCAGTTGCAAGTAGGTTTTACAGGATGGAGTTGTTCCGGCATTGAATTCAGAGTTGTCCTTAAAACAGTTTGGTTACCAACAAAGGTAAAAAAGAACAAAAAAAAAAAAAAAAATCTGCGCAGTTAATTAAGTTACATCTGTGCGAATGAAGAGAGGCATTCATATCTTTGGAAAGGGCATTTAGACGAAAGGGAAGTAATTTTGCTCGTCGGACATTTGAATTCGACTTGCCTATTGTACTTTCTACCTTGTTAACCGCTATGCTAACAATACAGGGATCAGGCATATAAGAAAATGGTTAAAATGTGTGATCTCTGGGTTCTTTTATTAAAAGACTAACATAATTTTAATTGGGTATGTTTGCTGCTTCTTCATATGTTACTGCTTCCATTATTTTTTTCTGTATTTTGGCCTGTAAACTTTGCTAGGACATTGCTGCCTACACTTTCTTGTAAAATGTTTTTTTTAATAATAATTCTTATTTTATTTTCCGTATCCTTTATGTACGTGAGGGATCATGACTCTCCAAAGCATTCTTTTCGCCGCAAATTTTGTCTGTATTTGTCATCTTACTATTACTGATTATTTTTAATTATTACTTTAGATTTCATTTTAATATTCAGACGGTTTGAGTTTTTAACTCTCTGTGATACACACACATACACACACATATATATATATATAATATCATTAGATAATTAGTTGAGATGATTCCAAGGGGGATATTAATCCAAAGTAGGAACAGAGAAATATAAAAAGGGATACAGAATCCTTAAAAATCCATTTGGTTATAATTTATTTCGATGGCTTTTACATCCATCTCGTCATTTTGTTAATAAATGGAGTCAA